CACTTCTGGGAAATATTTGAATAGCACAGACCAGAAGGCGAGTGCCAGAACAACATCCGAACTAAAACACAGGTCACAGGTCGCCGTTTGAAGGAAAGAATCACATGCATCTGACTACACGACTAATTGGTTCAATGAGGCCTGCAATTCTTACACTTTGTTTCCCTGTTCTTGACTTCCTTTTGACAGCCAAAATATACCCCCTTCCCAAAAAAAATTAAAAATAACGTAGCATAAATGAAAATCACTGCTATATTGTTGAAGGTATAAAAATAAATATAATTAATTATTTAAAGAATAGCAACAAAAACAGTATTAAATAAATATTTAATGAATTTGTTCGTACATTATATTAGTTAAAATTATATCATAGTAGTATAATATTTATAGGATAAAATCATTAGAAATTCTACATTATAATGTAGAATTTTAATGATTTCATCCTATAAATATTATACTACTATAATATATAATTATAGTATAATAATGTGTAATAATGTAGTAATCACATTATTATAATTAAATATATTCAAATATATTCAAAATATTGTTCCAGAAAAAATAAACATTTTAAGTGACTGAAAGAGACTTTGTGCTCCTCAACAAAAAGCAAGGTCGAAACCCCGAACGTCCAATGGAGTTGTCATATCTAGCTCACATAAGACCTGAACATTGCGCCTGATTTTATTTTTAAAAGAGAAAGGGGAATTCAAAGAGTCTTTGACCTTCCAGGCCTTTCCACCAACATGACTTAACTATAGTTGAATAAAATTATATTCCAGGATAAAAGATGAATAGAAGAAAGAAAAAAAGAATAAGAATGAGAATTGGGGGGGGGGATCAATAAACAGTATTTGTTTTCATACTGGCCACACTTTACATCTTAAGTGCACTCGTTAAAAGTAAGATTAGTTCATTGACAGCTTGTGTAAAAAATATTATTCCTAACCTTGTATGTAATGGTTTATATACTCAACACTCTTGCTGTAGTGTGCTTGAGTGTTGGAAGTGTGCGAAAATGTCTCAACATGGTGTGTGTGTGTGTGTGTGTGAGAACGTGGTGGTCTCTCATCTTATCTGTCCTTCACCCTTTCTACACTTTCTACACTTCTGAAGACTGTTTCTCAAATACACACACTTACAAATGTCAAGTGTGTTAAGTATGTTGGTCTATAACAGCAGGATTGTGTCTGTCCATCAAGTATGCATCATAAAAACTTTTATGTTCAAAGAATGCCGTTTGTTCAGTAATACATGAAGTGAAAAGTGAGTACATGCAAGACTCGATCTGATTCCTTGGTTTTGTTTATGTAACCTATTGTAGTTTAATTCACACACAATAAATAACATTTTGACTTGACTAAAGACAGTGCATTTAGAGATTTTCATATGATGTTTGTAGAAGATAGATAGATAGATATGTGGTATGTGTGTGTTTGTGTTTGTGAGTGCAGCATTGGGCATTGAACGAAAGAAAGTTTTTTTTTTTAAATCTCTAATATTTTATTTATATATTAAAATATATACTAGATAGAAAATGAAGGTGGTATGTGTGTGTTTGTGAGTGAGGCATTGGTCATTGCCACTGGCCCTGAGCTCTCTGTGCTGCACTGACATAAAAATGTTTCACCCTGAGACCCTCGAAACCTTGAGCCCATTATAAATATTGTTTCAAACGCTCTAATTCATGTACAAAAAAATAACCGGCCAGCCATATAACTAACTCTGACCAGGGGCTTTATTAAAACAGCTATATGTGCCTGTGTGTGTATCAGGAGTGTTTAGTGCTTGAAGGTCTCGTGTTTTAGTTTCTTATCTGAGCCATCAGGAGTATTCGAACATTCAGCTCAGATAAGATTACTTATGTCCGAGTGAACCTGTGTGACTGTGTATGTGTGTTTAACACAGATGACAAAAATCGTGAGTAAAAAAAGAGAGATTTATTAAAGGGGTCATATGATGCGATTTCAATTTTTCCTTTCTCTTTGGAGCGTTACAAGCTCTTGGTGCATAAAGAAGATCTGTAAAGTTGCAAAGACTAAAGTCTCAAATCCAAAGAGATATTTTTTATAAAAGTTAAGTATCAGCCACGCCTACCTAAAACGGCTCGTTCTAACACGCCCCCACATATCTACGTCGCTCTGTGGGAAGATTTGCATAACGCCGCCCAAATGTTCACGCAAAGAAGTTGTATTTACAACACTGTTCCAGAACACTTCAAACCAAATATCCAGATGTGTGCAGCACATTTTATGGAGGAGTGTTTCCTGATCCTGGGAGAGTAGACTACAATGCCGGCTGTTCTGACTCAAAGACTGTAAGTACATTTTTTATATTTAAAGAGTTTTTATATTTTATATATTTTTAAGCGAGTTTTTCGGGCAGTGTAGAGTAGGGCTTGTTTGTCATTTCTCCGATCACAAATGCAGACATGGTTTTATGTTTACGTGGCGCGATGCAACACAACGCGTAAAAAGACAGTATAAGTCATTATAATCCATAATTATGTCCCCACTGGATGCAACGAATGCCTCATTTATAATAGGTTTTCATGTTTTTGTCTCATCGCTCCGGCCTGACAGGGCATCATTACAGTATGGTTAGGGGCGTAACATTTCCGTCACACGCTTGAGGTATTCGGCGAATCATAACGCACTGGATAGCTGGCCAATCACAGCACACCTCGCTTTTTCAGAATGCTGAGCTTTGTAAAAATCGACGCGTTTCAGAAAGGCGGGGTATAGAGGAGAAACAATAATGTACAGTGTGTGGAAAATAATGTGTTTTTTTAACCTTAAACTGCATAAACACATTTCATTACACCAAATACACAAAATAATGTTCTTTTTAGCAGCATCATATGACCACTTTAATTATGAAAGAAAGACAATGAGTGCTGTTCTGGTTCCCTCTATGACAAACTAAAGCAATAAGCCATAAGAGGCCATGTGTTACAGTGATTTTTACAGTCGTTAATTGATGCTGTACTTAAAAGCATGGAATTTGTAGTAAAAATCACTGTAACTCATAAACAGAATGATCTATTTCCAGAAAATTGGCAGCAATGGCAATATCATGCTCAATAAACTGGTTTTATTATTATTAATTAGAGAGGAAGAATGATTTATTCTGATAAGATATATAGTTCAACTGTTGGCCAACTGAAGGAATACATCTTATTTTTGTTGCAGTCAGCAACATCATATTTGGAATCTGAGCTCATATTTAACTCTGTCTAATGCTTCTGGTTGGTGTACTTGTAACTTCTGCAATGATTTTTAATCAGGCTGAACATGGAAAACAGTGGCGGCACCTATTTGTTGTGGATAATATGAGATAAGCCACTAAAACAGTTCCTTCTCTAGTTATGCATGTAGCAGAATCCCTTATAATAAAAATAGTAGTAAGATTTGAAATAAGTTGCAGGAAATGAACAAGGGCTGTAAATGAAACAATTAGGCCTAGTTGGTAAAGTATTTTCTAAAAACATATCAGTGGAACATATAGGATGAAGCTCAGAAGATTTTCAAACACAACCTTATGGTTAAAAGCAACTACTAAACTATCTGAAACTATCGTTTTAATTACATGTGCTTCCGCCAACATTTGGAAACGATTAACTGTTAATATTTGGCTTTGTACCTGTCACTGTTGTCTTCACTGCTGTGAATGGCTCTCACAAAGCGCGGGAAAAAGCAAAAAGTATGAAAAAGACACAACAGGACGAGTCCACATAAAGGGATTGAACAATTAATATGATAATTTTTCATTTACACATACAAATTTGCCCGATGTAAGCACGTTTGCCCTTGTAATGTAAAAGAGACTAATTTTAGTTAGCTACTGGTCCGTTGATTTAAAAAATATTTTTAAAAATATATATTTTAGCATCATATTTAATGTAAATAGTGCAACATTACAGGGAATCAATCAATTTCGTAAATTTTTAAGATACGAAACTGCATGTTTCTAGTTGTGGAAAGGTAAAAGATGTGATTGAATGTTTTTACAGAGAGAATCAGTCACCAAAATGTCTTATGAGAGGATGTAGGAAATAAGTTTTCTTTTTAGGAGTATAGTGAGAGAAATAGGAAGAGAAGGAGAGTTGTGCTAAAAACAATTTCTGCACTCCCTGCAGGAAGGGGCGGAGCCTGACACAGGAAACAGGATCTTCACTTAGAACTCTCATAGAACTCTATTATTCTGTATAATGATTGAGGATATCTGACTCTCTAAGTTTGCTAAATATGTTGTATTGTTCAGTTTAGCCAAACTACTCGATCATAACAGATTGTGATGGAGAAAAGGAGATAGAGAGGAAAGAAAACTGAATGAAAAGTGACAAGGTCATGGACATCTAAATTAGTTCAAGTGGACACTCAAAAATTCTGCTCACAAGTCAAAAAGAGACAAAGACATGCTTCTATATTCAGCACTTAAAGGCAACTCTGCAAGTTTTGACGTCTGAGATTTAGACAATTTACACATTAATAAACTTTTTTCTCTCTCTCAATGTCCAGTCTTCCGGTAATTTTGCTTAGGCTTCATTCTCAATTCATGAAGATAATATACAGGTGCATCTCAATAAATTAGAATGTCATGGAAAAGTTCATTTATTTCAATTAAAGATGTCGATTTTATATATAAAATATGTCTATATATGTATTTATTAAAGTAGTTTGTGAACATAGGGAGAGTCAATGTATACATATTTGATTGAACAAAAATCTGTGTGGTGCAGGGTGAGTCATCAATAATTTTGTTCTGTTTTTCCAGAAGAGAATGAATGTAAATCAGGTGTATATAGACTACTAGAGACATTTGTCAACGTTTGGCACATAGATGGCCTTAAACTGAACACATATTGACTAAAACGGTCATAGAGCATGTTAGTCTGGATCTGCAAGGCCTCAGAACCAGGAAAACACAATATGGATCGTAGAGCACCGTAGAGAAGAACAAACAGAGACACTGATAATAAATCAACATACAGAGGCCTTCTTTATGAAACAAAAATAGGTACAATGTAATTTTAAATGCTGTAAACATTCAAATGCAGAGAAGAAAAATACGATGCTAAACAGATGAACAATGAATATCAACAGAAGGACAGACAGCTGAGCGATACAGTCCGTTTTCGCCCGGTCTTTATGTAATCAATTACAGACACACTTCAAGGCCTCAGATGATAAAAAAACAGAGAGAAACATGGCACGCACAAAGAAAATGATTACCCCCCTTCTCCACTATCTATCAGAGCGACCCTCGCATGCTATCCTCGAACGTGCCGCTATACTCAACCCTCTCATTGTCTGCTGCTGTGGCTAAAAACAGAAATGTAACCTTTCAAAGAAGGAATGGAAGGTTAAAACCACATGAAATTCCAATGTTTAGTAATATTTGGAATGTTCCTCTGTACAACACGATGAGGTTTCATCAAACTCAACCCTCTGGCCTTCCTGAGAAATGGCTCCTCTGGTAACAGGTAAAACACATAATAACATGTTCAAAAACGGGAATAAAAATGATCAAAACAATGAAATGAGGAATTACATTTCCAACAAATCTACAACTACGCCAAAATACAAACACATAAACCCTGTTCAAACATTCACACTTCCTTGAAGACATGTGTGAGAGGAAATACACACACACACACCTGGGATAAAGAGTGTGCTTATTGCATTTCGTTACCCCGGCAACTGGCTCAAAGATTACCGGAAGTCTCCATCCTGAAAAAATTATGGTCAACAGCATGTATATTGTGGCACACTAAGCTTTGGTACTCAAACTTGTGAGCTGCGGATGATCATTTTGACTATTTAAATCTCTATAGCTCAAATGTAGCTATCATCTGAATAAGAAACATTGTTTTTTTTTTAATGAAATTCAGCACCTTGGCATCTTCACTATTTTATCAGGCATATTTTATCAGTGACATCCTGTAACACAAGGACATTTCATATCATAGCTAGAGGCTGCATTATTCAACAATGGCTTGCAGTGCGTTCATTTGTGGTTTTTCTTTTAATTTTAATCATTAACACAATGGTCATAGAGTTTGTGGTTTTCCAAAGGCTTTTACCTTCAAAAGTCATGTTCCTGGGGTAATCTTTGCAGGCATCTTGAAATCTAATTTGGTAAATCGCTACATTTGGTACACTTCGAAATCACACACAAATCTGTTAAGAGTTTTACATTCAACTTTGTCATGTAATAAATACATTGCGGGGGGGGGGGACTAAAACACTAGTTGGAGTCATGGCTTATGTCTTGGAGGTGGAGATGCTGGCTAGCCAGGGGTTTTGATTGGTTGTGCAGGAGTACAGTACCGCCTTAAACAGCAGTGGGAGCTGCTCCAATGGAATGGCCATCATCTTACCTATAACCAATAATAACATAATTAGCAGAGTTACATTTTGATTGGCTAATTGTTCCATATACAAACTGACGATTTCTTGCAGTATCATGAAGTAGATGCGCAACAGGATTTTAAATAGGAAATAATAAATCTCTATGAAATACTCCACAGCAAGCAGCTGCAGTGATTTGTGGATAAAACTAATTTGAAGCTAAACATGTTTTTGATCTGTTTTTAGGTTTTCCACTAAATGCTGGAAATAAGCTGAGAATATCATCATTTGTAAGCCGCTGACAGTCAAAGATTTGTAACAAAATGAGGTTGAGATGAGTGAACTGTAGCTTTAAAACACACCACTGAAAAAAAGACTCTTATGCTCAGCAGGCTGCATCTATTGGAGCAGAAATACAGTAATATTGTGGAATATTATTGCAGTTTAAAATAACAGTTCTCTATTTGAATCTTTTTTAAAATGTAATTTATTTCTGTGATGCAAAGCTGAATCACCCCAGTCTTCAGAGTCACATGATCCTTCGGAAATCATTCTAATATGCTGATTTGCTGCTCATGAAACAATTCTTATTATTATCAATGTTGAAAACAGTTGTGCTGCTTAATATTGTTGTGAAAACTGTGATGTATGTTTTTTTCAGGAATCTTTGATGAATAGAAAGTTAAAAAAACAACATTTAATTTAAATATATATTTTTTGTGATATTATAAATGTCCTTTTTATCCAATTTAATGCGTCCTTGCTGAATAAAAGTATTAATTTCTATTGATATACTACTCTACTCTATTACTCTATAGTTTCAAAAAATTGTACTGACCCCAAACTTTTGAACAATTTAAGAAAAATGTATCTTTTTGGGTTCATTAACTCTCTCCCGCAATTTCCCTCTAGTATTATACAGATACACACCTGAGGTGTGGCGTATCTCGGAAAGGCAGGTGATGATGTCAGAGAAGCGTTTGGGTCGACGAGGGTAGAGTCGTTCTGTCAGGTCACGACACACGGACCAGTAACGTTCACTCAACTGTTCCAGTGTGGATATGTTGCACAAACCTGCCATATCTACAACACACACACACACACACACTCAAATTACACACAGCTGCTATGGCCACAAAGATCTCAGTGTAAAGCAAGGTTAGTGTAGTGTGTGTATTACCTTTATTGAGCAGGGTGATGGTCTTTAAGCAGCTGTACTCCTCACTGCTGATATTTAGTTGATGAAACTTACGGAAGAGAAAATTTAAACTCTCCATGACCTCCATAGCATCCTCACCAAACCTGCATACACACACATGTATACATTCATAGATATTTTAGACCAATGAGATTTTACGGTGGGTGGAGTTACTGTGCATTCCTGTTCATACACATTTAGCTCACCCCTGTAGTGTTAGGCTTGACGGTGTGTACTGGTGTGTGATGTTGGCCAGTTCTCCCAGTATCTGTCCGCTGTGCACAGTGAGTGAGGAGAGCAGGATGAGCTGATGCCAGGAAGCCCCCAGTAAACGAGTGCAGTCTTTGATGGACAGATTGCTGTAGAAGGGTAAACGCTTCAGCCAGACAATCTGTCTGAATAACAGCTCATCAGCTATACGGCACAGCAGAGCCAACAGCTCCGATTGAGTCACATTATACCTGAATAAATGACAGAACCTTAGAATTAAACAGGCTGGTTTTGTTTCAGTGTCTTTAAGACTTTCTATGTAAATGCCCCCCTAAACGAACAATGAAAACCTTTTCAATTATGTGTTTAAGGCTGGGTTCTATAGAATTGATATAGTCTTACCCCTCTTCTATGACCATGGGTGTAGTGAGAGGTGTGAGATCTTCAGCAGCAAGTAGCTGGGTTGACAGTGTGTGCAATTGCGTCTTCAGGCTGCTGCCAGTAGAGGGCGGTAAAGGATATTTACACAACAGGAAAGAGTGTGTCAGCTGAGGACTGCTGCACTGATCTCTACAGGATGCAGGGTATGTGCTCACATCCACAGAACGGCTGCAGAGAGAACAAGAAAGGAAATTATACATCATACATGACATATATGCAAAAGCAATCTTAGTATATCAATGGAATTTGATATAAAAGCCAAAAGTCAACATGAAACCGTATTTGCAACAGTGTAATTTTAGTATCATCGATATACTTTTATAGGTTTTGTTAATATTTTGAATTAGGTTTTATTTTTATATTTTCTCTTTTTAGTTTATTTTTAAAATTTTCTTTAAGTTTATTAATTTTGTTGTGTGTTTTTACTATTTTTATTTTAGTTTGAGTTTTTTTGATATATCTATATAACATTTCTTAAGTTTTAAATACATTTATTAGTTTTAGTTATTTTAGTACTTCAACTTAACCAAAATGGCAAATGTTGCCTTGGCAACTAGATGAAATGAAATCATTTTAAGTATTCAATATTTTATTTCGGTTAACGTTTATATAAAGTAACAAACTTTTTTTTAGTTTTTTAGATAACGATAATAACTCGTCACACATTTAAAAGTGAAAAAGATAATCAGATTTATTTATTTTATCTATTAAATTGTATCCATTAGGAATTGACCAGATGGTGAAAAGTGTCTATTTATGGAAAAGACTGAAGAATAAGAAAGTTGTTTGAGAGGTGGGACAAAGATTATATTTAATTAAAAATTATGAAAACAAACATTTTTATTATTTGTGATAGTGAATTAAAATAGCATCAACTTTGAGTGTTTCTTTGTTGTTTGAACTCTCTGCTTATGTTTGTTGTAGTATGAATTATTTTTTAAAGATTATGAAAAAAAATTGCTTTGGAATAACATACACAATATATTCAAAAATGTAAACAGTAAAAATAGCAACTCTTAGCTCATGTTTGATATAGCATGTGGTACATTCCACAACACATATATTACATTTTTATGCATGATTATGAAAAAAAAAATGAATTTGTCTTCACAGTATCACGCACAATAAATCAATGAATTAAAAAAATATTAATAGCATCAATTTTGAGCGTTTCCTTGTCTTGTTTCCACTTTTTGCTCGTGTGTGTAGTATGTTGTTTGTTCCACAACACAAACATCTCCTAATTCAATTTAATCAAAGCCATTTGTCCCTGCACATGAAAAGGACAGATGCAGGTCAGCGCGTCCGTGTGTAATAGCGTCTGAACATCTCATTCGGGTCACACCTGGTTGACAGCGCGGAAAAAGATAAGGTCTGACCGCCCTCGGAGATACTGTTGCCAGGTGAACTGTGGTTACTGTAGCCGTGGCTCCACCTATCTGATAGTTCAGCTCCTTCTTTAAACTCCTGGCCAGACATGATTCGTTCGATCTCCTCCAGCGAGATCTACACAGAGAGAAATAGAGAAAACCAGTGATGAATGCATGCCATCGACAGCGAGCAGAACGCCGGTGGGAAATAAAGGATGGAGATCGGTCAACACGCAGAGGTTTGTTGTGAATAAAGCTGAAATTGTTGAAATTGTTGACAAAATCAATAGTGACATGGGGTGCTCTTGCTTATCTTGTGCCCATCCTCGATTGTCATCCAATTCGGATTGAAAGCGATAGATCCATCGATTGTGTTTTTAACAGAGCGAGATGTAAACGAATGACTGAATTCATGCTAGAATGAGGGAGAGTCAGTGACAATGCTAATAAACACTATAGAGCATATAACAAGGACACCGAGACACAAACACACACTGTGTATCTCATTCACATGCTCTAGATATTTATATGCTGTATACATACTAATAAGAAAGAGAGAGAGAAGGAGAGGGTTTCTGTTTGTATCAAAGAACAATTGATCTCCTCCATTCGTGGCCTTCAGAATCTCACTCAGCTCTCAGAGGAAACAGAAAGATGAGATGCAAGAAGAACGAAGAGAAAAATGTGGAGAAGAATGAATCATATAAAAAATGTTATTATTTTTTTTCAATATA